GTAATATAACAATACTGTATTTACTTGCATACCATATGCACCTTTTCCTCCCAGATCAGACCTCCACAATCCAGTATCTTAAATGAGAAAGCTGATTTCCACCCCCTGGAATAGAAGCAGGGTAGAATAGAGCAAACGGATTCTGTGCATCATGGCCACCAGGATGGCTGCCACTTCTCCCCGGAGCTGCAAAGAGCAAGTTCAGAGTCCAGTGTTAATCTTCCCGCAACTGCTGGTGAGGCAGTAGCTTCTGGCTAAAGTGTCACTGAGCTGGCTGAAGGTGAGTGAGCAGCTCTGTACTCTGTGGTATCTTGGTGAGGCTCGTGGTGTGGAAACAATATTATTTACACAAACTTTTAAAGAAATAACAGTCTTGCTACTGCTCTTCCAAGGGTCTGGAGCCTAGCTTTGTTGCTGTCTTGCCACATCAGGAAGTCCCTGTTTCCTCATCGAGACAGTGCTGGGATGCCACACTTCCTGGACAGTCAATGTTTCCAGGAGGACTTTCTCTGTCATGCGGTTGGCCGTGACTTTGGAAAAACTCTTTTCCCCCCCCTACATTCTGCCTTCTGAAAACAAGGCATATATTTTATTCAGACATGTGTGATGTGCAAGAAGTTATGGTATTTGAAGGTGTTACATTGCAAGATAATGATTTTTAACAAATGACCACAAAGAACTTTTGGATGCGTTTAGACTAATTGTCTGCATTTTAGCCTTGCATTCTTGATGTTAAAATGAGGGTTAAAAAGGAAACCCAACAGAGTCTGTCAGCACCTAGGAGCAGTTCAGTGTTGAACCTGGGCCTTCTGTCTGTATACCTTAACTGCTGCACCCACATATGTAGTCTTACTGAGAATTCTACATGTGCACCCACTGGAGTTGCTCTTATTTTCATCCACTGGGAAATACACTGTTGTGTTAGCATGGACAAATTCATTTCCAAAGTAACAGAATCTGTGCAAACAGTTGTCTTGCTATTGTCCCATTATGTCCCCTTTGTGTAACCAGGGTGCAAACAAACATCGCTGTCATGCCACCATAAAATTTTTTATGGTGGCACAAGTTGTGAGTGAACAGGCATCCCCACCCTTTGTCTTGCGTCAGTTGTCCAAAAATGTTTGCCCAACCAAACCTAGTCACAGTTTATGGTGCCTTATAGGGGAGGAAGTTTATTTGCTTATTGTATGTCCTGGGAATCCCCTTGCAGAGGAAATGTACCATATTTCCTTAAATCCAGTCCTCATTCAACATGGGGTGGGGAGAACCCCTTGTCTTGGATTTGAGTGCTAGCCCAGGGCAGATGGCTGTTTCTGCTCTCATGCAGGGGAGGCTATGTGGTATGGGCAGAGACTCAGGAGATTGCATGGGACAGGGCCCAGGGGGCAGTGTGAGGGAGGAATTGCACAGCCTGGGGGAGGGGATGGTGATGGGAAAAGGGCAGGGAAGATGGTGTAGTATAAGGTGGGAGCATAGGAAGGATTACACAGCAGCAGAGGAGCTGGTATGGCTCTAGCTCTGGCCCTGACCCAGGCCCAAGGTCATAGCTGCACCCATTGCCTGTCCTGGGATGGGACTGGAGCTGCCACTGCTGATGATGCCTGGCTGGGTCAGAGCTGGAGCAATATACATCTTTTATAATCAAGATGGAATCAGAGAGGGGCCAAGCTGAGGTACTGTGGGTTAAGATACAAGAGTCAAGGGGAAAGGGACTTGGTAGTGGGAGTCTACTATAGACTGCCACACCAGGATGATGAGCTGGACCTGGAATTCTCTGGGCAGCTCTCGAAGGCTGTACAGTTAAGAGATATAGTTGTCATGGGTGACCTAAACTATCCTGACATCTGCTGGGAGGAGCAGTCAGCCAGAACTAATCACTCATGTAGGTTCTTAACATGCATACAGGACTTCCACCTAACGGAGGAGGTATACAGTCCCACTAGGGGGAACACCTTGCTGGACTTGGTGCTGGCTATGAGGGATGACCTGGTGGGGGATCTGCACATACAAGGCAACCTAGGGAATAGTGACCATCAACTGATTGAATTCACTGTCCGGTGAAGGGTGAGAAAAGTAACCAGCAGGGCAGAAGTGCTAGATTTCAGAAAGGCTGATGTCAGGGTGCTTAGAAGATTAGTCAGTGGACTAATGGAGCATGGACAAAAAGGGGGTCCAGGAAAGGTGGTCATTCCTCAAAGAAGTGATCCTTAGGCTGCAGAAGGAGGCAATCCCACTGTGTAGAAAAGGGGAAAAAGGGACCAAGAAACCTCCTGGCTAAACAGGGAAATCTAGGAAAGCCTAAGGGCAAAAAAGGGGGCATACAGGCTGTGGAAGCAGGGGGTAGCTACCAAGGAGGAGTATACCTCCTTGGCTCACACTTGCAGGGAATCAGTTAGGAAGGCCAAAGCAGCATTACAGCTCAGGCTGGTGACAAAAATTAAGGACACCAAAAAGTCCTTTCGGTATATAGGGAGCAAAAAGAAGGCGCAGGGCAGCATAGGACCCCTACAGGATAGACAAGGGCAGTTGGTGACAGATAGGAGGGACAAAGCAGAGCTCTTCGATGAGTTTTTTGCCTCTGTATTCTTGAGCTTGGATCTAGACAAATCTTTTAAATGCACTACTGACAGAAGCAGGAGAAACACCAGCCCACCAACTGTCAACACCGACCTAGTAAAGAGACACTTGGAGGGACTGGATGTGTTTAAATCAGTGGGACCAGATGAGCTCCATCCAAGGGTGCTGAAAGAATTAGCCAGTGTCATAGGAGAGCCACTGGCACAGCTGTTTGAGCGCTCATGGTGCTCAGGTGAGGTCCCAGAGGACTAGAAAAGGACCAATGTGGTCCCTATTTTCAAGAAGGGGAGGAAGGAAGATCCGGGTAACTATAGACTGGTTAGTCTCACCTCCTCTATACTTGGGAAAACCCTTGAAAAAATTATCAAGGATCACATTGGATTTTGTAAGAGTCCAGCAGATAATATAATGCTGAAGGGCAACCAGCACAGGTTCATAGCAGGTAGATCCTGTCTAACTAACCTTGTTTCTTTTTATGACCAGGTCACTAAAAGCTTAGATGCAGGAGTCGAGGTAGATGTCATCTACTTGGACTTTAAGAAGGCCTTCGGCATGGTATCCCATCCTATTCTTATAAACAAATTGAATGGCTGTGCCATAGACTATTACACAGTTATGTGGGTGGCAAATTGGCTTAAGGGTCATATCCAGAGAGTGGTGGTGGCCGGGATGGTATTGACCTCAAAAGATGTGGGCAGTGGGGTCTCCCAGGGCTTGGTCCTTGGGCCAGTGCTGTTCAATATCTTCATCAGTGACCTGGATGAGGGTGTAGAAAGAACTCTGTCCAAATTCACAGATGACACCAAACTACGGGGCAAAGCAAATGCACTGATGGGAAGAAACCAAATCCAGGCGGACCTGGACAGGTTAGAGAAGTGGGCAGAGAACAATAGGATGCAGTTCAACAAGGACAAGTGCAAGGTGCTGTACCTAAGGAGAGGGAATCACCAGCACAGCTATAGGTTGGGGGATGACCTCAGCAGCACAGTGGCAGAAAGAGATCTCGGAGTCATTGTCGACTTTAAGATGAATATGAGTCGTCAATGTGGCGAAGTGATTAGCAGAGCTAACCGCACTTTGTCATGCATTAGTAGGTGCATCATGAGTAGGTCTAGGGAGGTGATGCTTCCCTTCTATGCAGCACTGGTCAGGCCGCACCTAGAGTACTGCATCCAATTCTGGGTGCTGCAATTTAAGAAGGATGTGGATGACCTTGAGAGGGTCCAGAGGAGGGCCACTCGTATGGCGAATGAAGGCCTGATGAGGAAAAGGTAAGGGACTGGATCTTTTCAGCCTCAGTAAGAGAAGGCTGAGAAGGGATCTTTTGGCAGTATACAAACTCACGGGGGGTGGGGGAAGCAGGTAATAGGAGATGCTCTGTTTACCACAGCACCCCTTGGAATAACCAGAAACAATGGCCACAAACTGATAGAGAGTAGGTTTAGTTTGGTCATCAGAAATAACTTCTTCACGGTTGGGGTCACCAGAATCTGGATCCGGCTTCCAAGGAAGGTGGTGCTCTCCCCTACCTTGGGGGTCTTCAAGAGGAGACTAGAGAAGCACCTGGCTGGGGTCAAATGACCCTGGCACTTTTTCTTGCCACTGGCAGGGGGTCGGACTCAATCCTTTAAGGTCCTTTCCAACCCTGACATCTCTGAATCTATGAAAGATTGCATAAGAACTTCTTCCAGGATTTATCTCCAGGCTGCTGTGTCACCACCTCATGGAAATGTCCTGCATGCCTGTTTCCAAGAGATGTGTATGAGGCTGTGTCAGGAAGTGGCTGCAGTAGGTGGGGCACTCCTGTCTGCATTCAGTTTATTCCCAATGTTATCCCAGGACTTTCAAACTCTTTCAGCTGCAGGCTTGGTTGACTTCCAGTTCCCCTCATGGAGCAATACAGGATTAAATAGTGCCCAAAGCTGACTGATAGTACTTGAGCAGATAAGACGTTGTATAGCGACTGTGTGAATGCTTTCCTGATCATCTGGAGAAACCAAAAACCAGTTTATTATTGAATAAAATAGCTAGTCACCCCAATTTTCTCTTTTGCCCAGTTTTATCTGTTATGCACTGTAGTTTTGAGAAAATTGAGTAAAGTGATAGAGGGGTGCCTTGAGTCAAAAAACAGAGAAGTGCTGCTTCAGGTTACACAGAAAGCTGTTTGTGCTTTGCCCTTTCTTCGTTATTTTAGGTGAGACTTCCTATAATTCTTTTTCCTGCCACCTTGTCTTGTCTTCTCTCTGGTTCTGTATGCCCCTTACTTTTTCCCAAGCAGAGGCTATATATGCATCTCTCTACTGTGTCCTCCTCTTCACAAGGAGTCCCCTTTTCTCCTCTCTACCAATTTGTGAGGAACTAATAAGCAAGCAGTTATTTTATTTACCCTTTGCCCACCATTCTCCAATTATGTCCAATCACCTGGATAGGTTACAGGGGTGGGCTAACAAAAACAGGATGCGTTTCAATACTGACAAGTGCAGGGTGCTGCACTTGACAAGTAGTAACCAGCAGCTCAGTAATCTCTGCTCAGGCGGGGGGTTGGACTTGAAGATCTATAAGGTCCCTTCCAACCCCACTTCTATGATTCTTTGTCTTTTTTTCTGCCTGGGACATGAGTCATTCAGGCTATCAACATATTAAACTTTCTGAAAGGATAACCAAAGCCGAGATGTGGGTGTTGTCATGCTAGAAGATATTAATGGATTCCGTCAGCCTTGTGTTTGATCTGTAGACAATTACAGAATTATAAGAAGTGCTAAACAGATGGCAGTTTCCTACAATATTCTACTTCAAAATGTCTTTTCCTGAATCAGTCCAGTTCTGGCCAGTGATGCCTAGAATGTTCCTTGAATTTTTGGAATTGATCAGAAAGGGTGTTCAAAAGTTAGTGTTTCTTGCATAGATAAGTATTAGCATGAATGTATAACCTTTGTGAGCTCAACCAATTAAATATTTATGTAGATGACTACTTCCATAACTACACAAGATCAGTTATAATTTTTAAGAGCTATGTACCCTTATGCTGGAGAAAAACAATTAAGTACATTATTATGGGGATTCAGAAAACATATATTTAAGTTATTCCACGTTAGGCAAATGTGCAGTATCTTCTAGCTCCTTAATGTGTCTGGTATTGGCTACTGTCAAAAATAAATCATTGGATCTGCTCTGGTATGGCAGGTTCTATGTTTGATGTCAAATTGATTGGTGTGTATTGGTTTGCTCTTTGTTTTTGCAGTGAACAAATGGGTGTCTGAAGTTCATCTCTAAGTTGTTGGAACAATAAGTTTTTTGTATCCAGAGTTACATCCAGAGTTTCTAGAACAATATCTAGAATGTATTGGCATATCTGTTTTTGGTCAGTTGGAGATCTACCAAACAACATCAATGTTCTATCCTGCTCCAGTCTTTTTTAACTCTGTATCTTTTGTCTCCTTAGCTGCTCTGTTTCTACCTTGTCTGGTAACAATGGTATTGGATGATATGAAGGGATCTAATCTCAGTTCTGGTACATTGTTAGTATTAATTGCAGCCCAAATGGTCAACACTTGACACACAGGTAGAGGTCCTTGGTTATGAAAAATGTATCTTATTGCCCTACTCTTTTGGAAGTATAGCAGTTGGGGTGAAAAAAGTTGACAGGCTGAAAAATAGGTTCATTTTCTCAGCTGGTATGTCTTCTGCAGAATTACTGTTTTTACACACTTGCAGGGTTACACGATGCAAAACAAGAGTCCTGGAAACTTTTTGGCAGGGCCCAGTCTTGGGGTTCTATCTGAGAAAGCCCTGTTGACTGTGATGGAGCTGCTTGCAGGAATTGGGGTGTAGGATCAGACCCTCCAAGTCTGTACCACTTTTCTGTATTTGGCATCTACTGGGGATTATTAGTGAAGCACAGCAGCAATCAAATGGTACTATGGAGCAAAACAAACATAGCTCCCATCTTGGATTATCCCAAACCCTGGCAGAAAAAGTGAAAGGTAAAAAGTAAAAGGTGTGACTTCTGTAAAAATGGAGATAATGTTTAATACCCGTCCCCTTTTGTAAGGTGTTTGAGATCCTTGGATGAAGGCAGCTGCCTACAGTAACTACTAGAGGTGTACCAATAGATCAGTCCCGTATTGGATTGGCACCGATATAAGGAAAACTGACATCAGCTTTTTTTGGCTGATGTGGCCGATAATATCACTGATAAATGCGTGCAGCCACAGCACAGCATGTAAGTGGCCAGGAGCACAACCTGGCAGCATGGAGAACAGCCGGGTCCAGCTGGTAAGTCTGTTGTGAGGAAAGGCTGGGGTGGCAGATCGAGCCTCTGTGGTGAGGGAGGAAGTAGGGCTGCAGCTGGGGCAGGTGCTGCACAGCCAGGGCAGGCCATGGGATGGAGCCACGAGCAGCCCTTCTGGGGGGTGCAGGGAATGTGTGGTGGCTCCTGCTGCTACGGACAACCCAGGAGGTCATGGGGGTGTGTGCCTCTGGATCTGTGCTCAGGTTAAGGTTGCACACAGGAGTAGGTGGTGACTCTGGAAGGGGGGCTGCAGCAAATTTTGGGGTGGCTGCAGCCCCCTCCCCCACAGCCACCCTCCCAGCACTGCCGCTGCCCAGCCCCCTGCCAGGAAGAGCCCAGCCCACAGTAGCAGCCCACCCTTGCCCTGCACACAGATCTGGGGGCACACACCCCCATGCCCTCCTGGGGTGCACGTAGCAGTGGGAGCTGCTCCCTGCACCCTCTGGACAAGCTGCTTATGGCTCTGTCCTGCACGATGCCCCAGTTGTGCAGCACCTGCCTGTGCCACAGCCCCACTCCCTCCCTCACCACGGGGTTTCGATCTACCCCCTCCCACAGTCCCTTTCCTTCCTCCTCCCTTCCTCCACAACAGACTTACCAGTCAGATGCTGCTCTCCAAGCTGCCGGGCTGCATATCGCCAATCAGATCAATATCGGCTGATATGGCTCGTTAAAAATCGGCCATCGGTATCAGCCCAAAAAATCTCTATTGGTGCACCCCTAGTAACTACGTAGAGGAAATTCTGTTCACCACAAAATTATGTAAGTGGCTGACACATAGGGGGAATATTTCTTTTTTAAAACCCAACACTGGAATGCAAACTCCATCTGGAATGTTTCCTGTGGGGGTTTTTTAATTGATGCCAACAATAAGATTATTGATGTTATGGAATATAGCCTATAGTGTAGCAATAAACAAGTGACCTTTATGTTGCAAGAAACATCAAAACATATGCCATTCCTTGAACGTAATATGTTCTAATGTAGTGTATCCAGTGATTCTGCCACACATTTCTTCAGTGAAATTAATTTTCTTTAAAGCTAATATGTTAAATAGTAGACTGATATTTTTTTTTTTTTTTTAAAGGATCAAAACAGTCAGGCCATTTCTGAGCCGAACTGAAAGAATTTGCTGCCAGTCAGTATACATTCATTTACAAATGTGTTCTGATTAGAAGTATTCTAGGAATTTCTATTGCTGACTTTTGCAGAGGTAAACAAATAGTTCAGGATAACTTTGAGCAAACCGATTTCTGTAACAATAAAAAGCTACTTTTTTCAAACATTTAAGTGCACTCTGGCAGTAGAGCCCATAACAATTCAGTATTAATAGCTGAAATTACGTAGGCATCCATCTGTTGCTGCAAAAGGGAGGGTGCTTGTTTCTTCTGAACCTGTATTACTTTATTATTTCAGCACAGCCATATAGCCACCCACATACCTGAAGAATAATCTGCCTTTTAATATTCTGCTATACTTTTTATTGCAGGCTTTCCTTTAGTCTTTTCACAGCAGTCCCTAAAGCCACTCCAGAATTCCTTATAAAAGGGAAAAAGGTAGAAAAAGCTTCAAAACCGGAATGGCTGTAGCTTCAACATTTGCAGTGTGCTTTAGGATATGGATAGATGTAACAATTGAAACGTTTCCAAATGAAACATTTCATAAAAGAAGCGTTTCACCCTGTGGACATGCATACAGCCCCTGTGCTTTCCGTGGGTGGAATGTTTCAAAATGCTGCAGCCTCCTCTAGCACCAGCTACAGGGATAGGAAATAGAGGAGATAGGGGAGCAGAGAGGTAAGTGGGGGGCGGGGAAGATAGGGGCTCCTAGGCCCTGTTGGCAGGATTCTGGCATTCTAGCTCCAATCCGTTCTCTGTCCTCTCCTCTCCTCTTCTCAGCCAAGTGGAGAGGTAGATTGTGACTGGAGGGGCTTCAACAATGGCTCTAGGAATCAGCGTGAGTCTGGCAAGGGGGGACACCAAAGAGGTAAGTCTGATTCTGGAAGGGGGCAGAGGTCTTAGTTGGAGTGGGACTGGTGGCAGGACAGCTGGCAGGCTATATACTTACTTTCTCTCTCTGCACAGGCATAACAAAAAGTGAAATACTCCACAGTACTCCATTCCAAGTGGCCTTTTGAAACTTCTCAGAGGCATTTGAACTGCTTTAATTTTTATATCTGTCCACGCGTTTAGCTACAGTTGCCTGGAACCCAGCATCAAACAGGCTTTTTAACAAAGCCTCCATATTAGGCTTCATGCTTCTGAAGTTTACAAAAGGGTATTTTTGTCAGCAGTTAAGTGAAGCCTGCAGAGCAGCAGGCAACATCATCCTGAAGTCTGATGTCCAGCCAGTGGGGGAGAGAGAAGGCTAGGGTAAAGTCTGTTGAAAACTTGGGCCATAGTAAACTTACTTTTCTCCGGAGTGGTGATCTCAGGCATGTTCCACTGCTGCCAGGGAGCTGCCGTTTAAACCTGGAAGTATTGTAGTTGCCCCCATGTGATGCTGCATGTAGGATAATAAGCTAAAGGCAGACTAGTACACTCTTGCTTTAGTTAGTCTATAAAGTACAGATCTACCCTGGCTTCTGTTTGACTTCAGATTAACATGATTAACTACTGTGAATTCTCACTGTCACACATGTATGCTAATTAGCCCACTCATGGACTGCATGGACACAGCTACACTGCTTCTAGTTTAGGATATGCCCTGTAGAGATTGGTGCACTATGCTTGAGGATGCAGCTCTTAAGCATGGTACATTTATCTTATAGACAGGACTTTAGTTTCTCTCTTCTTTCTCTCCTGAATGTATAGGTTTTTCAGCTCTGTTTAGGTTATTTAACCAGAAGGGCAGCATGCAATTGCTTTAGTTGTAATGAGAACCCTAACAAATTTTCCACATGACTGCAAAACATCTGACCACTTTGCATTGATTGAACAGTAACTGTAAGTCTATATTCTCTATTGGATATAAATTCCATTCACGTTAATGTGAGTTATGTGCACATGCTGCTAGGGAGATTTGTATCTTAGAGCACCTGGATACAGGCACTTGTAAAGACACCAGCTAACTACTTCTATGTAGCAACAGTAGATGGCATTTCCTGCAGGTACCAGAATGTGTCTACCTAGTTTGTGTGTCTTACTTTCCAGGTTTGTGTGGGGGGGAATAAAGGTAGAATTCAGATACTTTACATATCCATCAGTCCTTACATTTAGATGCAATTAGCTACAAATGGATACTCATGTAGAGTCTTTAAAGATTCTGAAATTGTTTCCCCAAGTCTCATTTTTCAAAAGCAACTTTGGCTTAGATTTTAAACTGAACAGGATTTTGGTAGAAATTGGATATCTAAATACTGGAGAGTACCAAGTGCCTGAGAATAGGACTTACATTCCTAAACTTTTAGTATTTTTTTTCAGTTTCTTGTCATGTCCCAAGTAGCAGAGTGTGGGTCATGACTTAAATACAGAGGGGACAGCAGCCATACTGGGGTGGGAGAAGTAGCAGACTGAGGCTGCTGGCAGATGTTAAGGCAGTTGTTCAGTTGGGCAGCCTGAGGAATTTGGGGGGTGGGGCATAATATTTTCTAGGCCCCAGTCTCACAATTGCTGGTTGCCAGGGCTGCCCAATGCTGAGCCTAATGATCAGCTGATTATCAGGATCAGACAAGGGCAGCCGCTGTCTGGGGTACTACTGCCCTGATTTTTGAGGTTGGACAGGGGGCAGCTGTGGGTCCCAAACCAAGACTTGGGGCTGCCCCTCCTCTGATCCCAAGACCAGGACTCCCCATGACCCACCTTACTAGTTCGATATGGATAGAGAGCTCTGTAAAATTACTAGAGAGAAATACAGTTAGGAATTGTCATTAGGATAGCCATGGATTTTCCAGATACAGATCAGAGAATAAATACTGTAATACTGGTAGAACCCAGCTATCCCAGCATGTTCTAGCTATAGATTTATTTGAGTCACTAAGCCAGCAAGAGCTGATGCTATCTCAGATGTAGTTTTGATAAGTAGGGAAGACATTATAGGAGATCTGGTCACAGAAAATAACCTTGAACCAAACAATCATAAATCAATTCAGGTTAAAGTTAAAGAAATGATAAATAGAATAGATTTATTGAAGACTGGCCTGGCACAAGGGCTGTGGTAATTACATGGGCAGAGGTTTGTTAGGCCTCTACAGTAGCAGGGGTCTATGATTTGATTGCACCTGAAAGGGTGAATCCCTCAGAGTGTTGGCCTGCGGCCTAGCCCCACACTGAGGCCCACTACTGTTCATGAGCAAATCTGTATTATAAGCTAAAGGTATCAACAATCATAACAACATGAACTAATCAACAACCATTGAACACAACGTATGTACAGAGAGCAATATTGACCTGTTACCAGTGGTGGCAGTCAAGAGCAGTGACACAGGCTGCAGGGCCTGCTGCCAGGTCCCTGTCCAATGGGATTTCAACTTACTCATTGCAATCAATCAGTTGCATCACTTTTTGTGGACCAGTCACATTCATTATTACCACACAAACTTATTAACATAATTTTCCACGCTCTGTTGTTGTGACAAGGTTTCAACTGCGCATGCCTCAGTTTCCTAAGTAAGTCATAGCGTCATCAAGGTCAGAAGTTTAGATGCTCCAGAGACTTCTAACCTCTAGCCATCCTATGCATGCGTAATCAATATTATGACTAAGCCAGGACTCACACTGTTTATAACTAAGGTTTTCAATTTCAAAAAACAGATTTTTGATAAATTAGGGAAATGGCAAAGACAACTGGATAGGGGAGCTTAGGGATTTGAATTTAGAGGTGGCCTGTAGCACAGGCTTGGAATGTCTGTCAAAGGTCCAGAAATTATGCAGTCTTGCATCCCAAGGTCAGATGAAAAACTGGTAAGGGGAAGCTTAGACTTAACAGGAAAACTATTAAAATCCTGGGACATCATTCTCCCCTTGTACTCAGCCTTGGTGAGGCTGCAGCTGGAGTACTGCATCCAGTTTTGGGCTCCACAATTCAAAAAGGATGTGGAGAAGCCTGAGAGAGTCCAGAGAAGAGCCATGCGCATGATCAGAGGTCAGGAAACCAGACCTTACGACGACAGGCGGAGAGCGATGGGACTCTTTAGCCTAGAAAAGCGTAGGCTCAGGGGTGATCTGATAGCCACCTGTAAGTTTATCAGGGGTGACCACCAGGATTTGGGGGAACGTTTGTTCACCAGAGCGCCCCAGGGGATGATGAGGTTGAACAGTCATAAACTACTGCAAGGCCATTTCAGGCTGGACATAAGGAAGAATTTCTTTACCATCTGAGCCCCCAAGGTCTGGAACAGCCTGCCATTGGAGGTGCTCCAAGCACCTACATTGAACACCTTCAAGAGCAAATTGGATGCTTATCTTGCTGGGATCCTATGACCCCAGCTGACTTCCTGCCCCTTGGGTGGGGGGGCTGGACTCAATGATTTTCCGAGGTCCCTTCCAGCCCTAATGTCTATTAAATCTATGAAATCTATAAAAAGGATAGGGACAGACAGCCCTAGGGAGTTGGGGAAAAAATACTTATCTTTAAAGGAAGATATTGTAGAAGTCAAGAAGTGTTGAGATATAGTCCTGAGTCTAGTTGAATTAGACTTTGCAAAGAAGTAGGGGTATTCTTGTCATGAGGATGAAGTCAAGATTAAAGGTAATTGCTCCAGTTGGAAATGAATACTTTGGCTCAATTTTCAGTAAAGACAATGATGTGTTGCCTATTGGATCAAAAGCAGGAGCAATAACGGGATGAGGTCATGGAATCACCAAATTTGAGGGGGAAGCAGAACGCAAGATGTTTCATAAAACTACATTTTGGGATGACTGACAAATCTCCATCCCAGAATACAGGAAGGGCAGTTGAAATTGCAGATCTGGGAGCTAGGGATGGTAAGATATGAGCAAACAATAGAAAACATAGTATTTATATTTGAGAAGGGGTGGGGATGGTCAGGGAATGAGATCAGAACAACTGCGGGGCTAATATTTTGACCTGAGTAATGTGCAACCTCTTAGAACAAATTTTGAAGGAAAAATAAAGACGTTAGTTAAAGACAAGGAGTTGAGACTGTGAGAAGTATCTCCTTTTCAAGGAAGATAAAAATGCCTCAAAATGTTATGGTACTGAAAATTCCTCCAGATGATGCTAGGTGGTGCAATTGGCTAGTGAACTGGCTTTTCGTGGCAGGAGACTTGTGTAACAGAGAGCAAGGGCTCCTGTTACTTTAATAAGGAAAAGGGAGCTCAGCAATCATCAGCTGCCAACAAGTAAGCAGCTGAAGAAGTGTAAAGGCAAGAGCTCCAAAGCTATAGGTGACTACTTGGGAGCAAGTGGATCTGCAGTAAGAACTAGGCAGAACCCAGAGGCATGCTCAAAGGGAGATGCAGAGCTGGTAGACAGATGGCAGCAGATGAGAGCAGACTGCCCATTGACACAAGGAGAGGCATTTGTGCATGGTCAGGGAGGAATCTGACCAGAAGGGGCGAGGCTCAAGGAGTATAAACCCTGGCTCCTGGGCCAAAGCAGGCAGTGTGGCCCTGGCCGCTACAGGAAGAGATGCTTCTAGGTTGCTAGAAAAGAAGCTGCAGACTTGGAGGCTGGGTGGAACCAGCTGCTTAGGGTGGGGTCTGGCAGCAGTATAGAGACCTAAGATGGGGTTGAAAATTTGAGTTTGGTATTTTGTTTCTTTTTGATTGGAGGCTCAGGTTGTGGCTACAGGGAGGCCAGAGGGGATGCCTGGGAGGCACTCTGCTTTGAGCTTTAGAAGGTTCAAAGTATTGGCAGAAAGGCAGAAAGTATGACAGAAAGGCAGTGGCCCTGCCAGGGCCAGGGACCTGATGGGCAGGGTGTAAATTGTTACACAAACAGAACCAGAGGGCCTGTTGAAAGAGATTAGAGTGACATCCTCGTGGCATATCCTTATGGCTATGGGGGAAGCTGGAGGCCACAATTAGTGCCCCTAACATGCATAGGGCTTGTAGAGTCATGGTTAGTACCTATAAGGCAGGCCTGAACAACTGTGTGAGGCAGAGTCCCTGATGCCTGTGATTTGGGCAGAGAAGCCCTGAGGGCTGTGCTTAGAGGGAAGGCACCAAAAGGAGCTACCCTAGCCTCTAGAGACAGCCTCCTGAGTTCATTATTGTTGCATCAAGAGCATTGGTGATGTGTAGGGGGTGCACATGGGCACCCCCTGGGCTTGGCAGTGCACCCCCTGCAAAAAGCGCCGCCAACTCTGCCAGCAACACCTGGAGGCAGTCGCCGCTTGTCACCTCCCACCCCTCACTGCCAACACCGTCGGTGGCGTCTGTGGGTGATCCTTGATCATTGCTGGCCGTTGCTGCTAGCGGCGTATGCGGGTGGTCGCTAACCGTTGGTCGCGACCGCCCCCCACCACCAACATCGCTGTGGCTGCCTGTGGGAGCTCCCTGCCCCTGCTGCTGCCTGCGAGTGGTCACCGTGCCCCCCAGCCTTCGGGGGCACACAGCTTCATGGTCAAGAGTGTAAGAGACAGAGCTGACCACCAGGGAATGCCTGACTCTGAAGTTGGAGCCCCAAGCTTGCTACAACTTGGATAAAAAACCAAAAAAGGAAAAGGCTTATTTGCACACACAAGCCGATTGTTATTTCATTCTCTGAAAGGGATTTCTCCAGAGCACAAAACCACCACACAGTGCAACACTCAACAGACCTCCAGTGAATCCTGAGCCCTCCTCAGAATCTTCTCGGTTGGTTTGTTTGGTACGTGACCCAAGAGTAAGGCTTGGTCTTGCTACAGTCTTGCCAGAATAGTTGTGCTGGCCAGGAAGAGGGTGTGAAAAGATCTGTCCCTCACTGATGCAGCTCTGCCAGCAAAACTTCCTATCTTGATACAGCTCTACCAACGGGTGAGCTTCTGCCACCAGAACTACTGTTGTTTGGAGAGGTAGTGTAGTGAAGCAATCGGAAAACCCCTTCTGCTACCGTGTGCCGTGACACTGGTAGGGTTCTGTGTTTCCTCAGCAAAGCCGTGGCAGCAGCAAACCTGAAAAGCAAACAAACCCTAACTGTGCATCTTGCGTTTCACAACACCTCTCCCTGAAGCTGTTCTCTGAGGCAGTGGAAGGTTGTTTCATGCAATGGAGATTACAAGAGAGTCTGCTCTGAGTAGAGGGAAGGGGTGTTTGTTGGGGGAGTTAGGAAAATAATGGAAAGGAGTCTTCTTGCTAAATAGGATGTAAGCATCTGCTATGTGTCCCAGCCCAAGGAACTTGCAAAGAGGAAAAACCCTTCCTGTTTCCCAAGGGGTTCAGAATAATGCTCTAGACATGCATCTTAGTTTGTCCAGAGCAGTTTATCCTGTGCTCTTTGTAGCAGTGCAGTATGAGCAGTGAACGTCACTGCAGTTTTAGTCTTACAGAGTGGGGGCTCTGAAATCCCTCTATGACTACACTGATGGTGGCAGTGGGGGCTGAACTGGCCATGAGTCCCAGAACTGGAATTGCTGCATATCAAGAGTTAGCTGTGTGTGTTTTCTCCTTCTATTCATAGCTATCACCAGGGAGCTCCTATTCTTCTGAAGGGAAACTCCTTCCCTTGGGTGGCAGCCAAATATTAATTCGAGTCATAGCGCAAAACCTTTAAAAGCTTTTTAAAGAGCAGTTTCTGTCTGCAGAGACCAAAACCAGTGCAGGAGCAGAGTAGAAAGGATTATTTTAGTTTTTAAAGGGTTTAACCACCATTGCTTTTACTGTAAACATTATTACTGTCATAAAACATTATTTGCTTCCACAGAGTAGATTTAAAAAGAAAAGGCATATTGGAAATGTGGACATAAATGAGGACAGCACTGTTTTAACTTTCTGTGGAGGGAAGCCCTACAAACAGGGCTGGGAATAAGGGAATCATGACTTCTCCCAGCTTTGACCCTGGTTCTCTCTCTAACTTTGTATCAATTGCTTAAAGTGCCTTTTTTTGTTGCAATCCTGTAGTTAGAGAACG